GCTTTTCGTCAGGGCATCTCGGGGGTCTTCGCTCTGCGCGTTCCGCGATGGTTTCCCGCGGGCGTCAAGAAACTTTCGCATTCAGGAAGCCCTGGGTTTCTTTCCGACTGCAGCTCGCGAAAGCAATGCCCCACCACCGTAGAGACCCCGCTGCGCCGAAGGTGCTTTGAATTTCTTGCATCCGCGCGGATTCGGAAGGCCAGCAGCGAAACTGCTAGAATGCCACGCCACCGAAAAAAAACCCACTGCGCCGAAGGGGCCTTTAATTCCTTGCATCCGCGCCGATCCGGAGGGCCAACAGCGAAATTGCTAGAATGCCCCGCCAGCGAAGAAGTCCCTTTGCTCCGAAGGTATTTTTTTTGTTGCATCCGCGCGGATTTGGAAGGCCAGCGACGAAAAAGCTAGTATGCCGCTTTAGGGTCCCGATTTGTTCGAGCAGCTACGAGTTTCATCCACAGCGCCGTTGGCGCTTTCTCTTAGCGCGGCCCGCGAAGAAACTCCTTTGGCCAGAGCTCCCTTGGTTTCTTCGCTTGGAGCCCCTGGCCAAGAAACCCAGACCTTGGGCCAGACACTTCGTTCATTTTAAGGGTTGGGTTTCTTACGCTGGTTTCTTGTGGCCGTGCCCCCCCCACGCTATGGATAAACTTGGCCAAATCAGGCTGGTGTAGCAGGAAACTTGGCAGGTTATTTACGTGAGACCTGGTCCACAGCTCGTTGTCGCGAACACCCCCTAGGGAGAAGATGGACCAATGGGTGAGACTACAAAGGCCTCTGCGGTTGATTCCACAACTTTGGGGTCGCGCAGTGTCTCCGGAGTGGAATCTGCCCAGCTATCTCCTGGCAAGAGTTGCTTGAGGACCATTGTAGAGTTCGCAACTGTGTGTTGGCGATTGCGTTCCCAGCGGTGTTGAGCAGCCTGCCCAACCCTCGGATCCCCCCGAAGCACCTAGTTCTTGGTATTTGGACAACGTTGAAATGCTCTTGGCTTAACGGTGCGTCGAACAGAAGTTGGTCCATCATTGCACGTTCGTGGCCTCTTCCAGGAAATTTGCCTGTCTCATGGTAGTTCGGGGGATGTGTTCAAGACTAAGGGGAATGGTTCGAGATGCTGACAAGCTAGAGGGCACCTCGCTCTCGAAGGGGTTGTCCATAACGGCATCTGGAACACTGCGCATGCTAAGGTTTAACCACCAGGGCTCCGTGTCTGTCGTGCAAGAAACTTGGGGGGTATACCCATGGGTTGCCGATCGAATCCCCCCCGCCCTCTCCAGTTCATCGGAGACTGATATGGCAACGGACGCGGACAGTTGTGAGCAACGCAGCCAGAGCATTGCCACTTTCTGCTGGTCACGCGTGGACATATGACGTCGAGCAGAGGCCGTGACATCAGTGCAATCTGGATGAGACATGTGGCGACGTAAAACCCACTGCGCTACGCCGTTATAACATCCCGTTGGGCCCATGCCCACAGACACAACCGCTTCGAATGTATTGTATGCGACATGGCAGGCAATCATCAGGACGCGAGGGCACACTCAAACTGTTGCTACCGCTGCTCCACCTCTCAGGCATGATGCCGTGCCTACATTTTAGGGCACGCCGCACTCACCTGGCAGTACGTACCTCAGGTGAAGGCCCACCAAGTTTGCATTTTCATATGTCAGGGACTCCACTTGATATCGCCAGACTGAGGGGCAGTACCTGGCCCGCGAGGGCCCCAACCGTTTGTGGCGTGGACTTCCGCGCCTGCCGCTGCCGCCGCCCTCTTCGGGCTTCCTTCTCTGCCCTCGAGCTGCGAACGAACGAGCGAGGAGGAGGAACAGGAAGATGGGGGAGGAAGGGGGCGACGTCGACGACGGAGCTGGGAGTTCACCAGAAGGGCGTTACAAGCCTTGCGCTCTAAGAGCCTTTTGGAGACGTCTTGGGGAAGGTTTGGAGGGCGGCGGTCAAACGAGGGGCCAATTAGCGCCACCCAACCAGAGCCTGGCTAATCGCCTTTGTGGGTGCGCTTTGGCCGCCCTTGGGCGTTGTTGGGGCAGCTAGGATTCCTCCTGAGCCCCGCTTGGGGCCCTCTCGAGTGATAGTGGAACCACCTTGAGGCATTGCACGCCCACCAGACACAAGAAGGCGAACGCGCGAAACTGATCGGGTTCTTCTTACCTTGTGAAGGATGTCGGACTCTTGGGGGGGCGGCTTCGGGGGGGCCGTGGCCACTTAGAGCCGTGTTGGGACCATCTTCGGAGCTCTCTCAGGCACGCGGTCCACTTCCATCTGTTTTGGACAGTGTTGCTCCACCTGCCAGGCCATCTTGAACTGACTGAAGCAATCGGGCCATCTTGGCCCGAATGACTTCGCATGATGCCCCCGAAATGCTACAATGCTCCAACGTATGGTTGTCCGGTGAGTTTGGATTTGAGTGCAGGGGTCCTCAATTAGCGCTGCCCTTCTGGATCCCGAGCAGTCGCTTCTTGAGGCCCAATTTCGGGGTGACGGGTTTCGGACTTTGGGGGGCCGCGGTCTCTTGTGCAGGCCCCGTGGCCACTTGAAACTGTCATGAGGTAGTACTGTGGCCTCTGAGAGGCATGCTGGAGAGCATCTTTGCGCCATCGTGGGCTGTCTTGCGCCACCTTGGAGGCCACCTTGGGCTTCCTGGGCCACGGTGGACGATCTTGGGCCACCGTGGACGCTCTAACCCCTCAAACCCTCCGGCCCAGATCCGAGGGAGATGGTAGGGGCACAAGCTATTCTCAAGCCGCAAGCCGTCTGGCTCACTCCCGCCCGCCCTCACAACATAAGTAGCTTCCATGCCTCAGCATATTCAGCATTCGCCGTTGGCTGGACAGCCACCGGGGACAAATGTAGGCGCCGTGTGCGCGACGCGGGCGAGGTACGCCATTCGCGCCACGCGCCCCAGGTGCACCAGGCGCTCTGGCGGCCCCGGCGTGCCAGGTGGGCCTGGTGCGCCAGATGTGCCACGGGCTCCATGCGCCGAATGTGTTCAACCTGCGCGGGAGGACCGGTGGGATTTTGAGCCATTCGGGGGACCTTGGGGCCCTGTTGTCTATTTCAGCAGTTCCCCGCGTGAGCGTTTCCCTCAGCTGTCAAAGTCCACGAGAGGCACTGGGGAGCTCGTGGCACCACCACGGGCTTCCAGACTTCGGGGAGGGGGGGGGCAGTGGCAGGGGAGGGCATCCGGAATCCAGCCATCTTTCACGCCGTGTCGCCTTTTGCCAAGCGGGGGTTGGCGGATGTTCACTTCGTACAGCCCCCATCTGAATTCTTTGACTTTGGTGTATCTCAACGTGTTCCTGAATCGCGCTGGCCACATGCACAAAATAATCGAACCCATTACTTTTTTTCTGTCGCCATACGAGTTTTGGCAAGACTACCTGTTCGACGCGTTGTGGTTCCTCATGGTACTGAAGCTTATCAGAGAGGAGATCCCGGAAATTTATGACAGCATCAAGGAGAACAACAGCTTTCGTATGGGCATTGCGAACTATATCTCTGTAGGCAACCTCATCGATTGGCTCAACATTGCGCACTCTCTCATCATCTGCATGATGTGGGGCCTGTACGTTCTCGAAGTCTGGGACATGAACGCTATGCTGGATCAGGCCGACGTGACAGTTAAGGGTAGCTGGCAGACTGACGAGGAGAGGAACGACTTCTTCAACCAGGCCGCCCACGTCGGCAGCCGGCAGCACTTTGTCCGCCGTGCGGCCGCCGCGTACCCCCTGGTCGTGGTGTTCAAGTTCCTGAAGGTGTGCTCGTACTCGCCTCGGCTCGCGCTGATGACGGACACCCTGTCGAATGCGTCCGTGGACATCGTCCACTTTGCGGTGGTGTTCTTCGTCGTCTTCATGATTTACACGACTTCGGCAGTTTTTTTGTTTGGCCAGGAGGTACTGATGTTCTCCTCCTTCCCGAGGGCTATCGATGCGACGTTCAAGATCGTGATGGGCGATTTCGACTGGGAGGAGCTCCAGCGCAGCGGGAGACTGGAGGCATTTCTATGGTTTGTGACTTTCATGGTGCTTGTGCATCTAATAATGCTTAACATGCTGATTGCCATTATCATGGACGTATACACCGAGGTGAAAAGTTCGCTTCCCCCGGATGCGGACACGCTGTGGTCGCAGCTGCACGAGGTCATCGGGCGAAAGTGGGACGTGCACTACCGCGGCACGAGAGTGAGCCTCAGGAAAATCAGAAAGCACCTCGGGCTCGGCGGCGGCGGTGAGTGCGAGGACGGTGCGGGCACTTCGCGCCACGACCTCGACATTGTCCGCTTCGTAGCCATGGTTCCGGAGGCGGAGGACGGGGACGAGGCCACCACGCTCGATTTCGCGATCAATTTCAGGCTCGACAGCGACAGCCTCGAGTTCGAGCAGCTCGGGGGCGACCTATTCCTAAAGTCGGTCGGCGAGTCGGGTGCCCGCTGCGCCGTCCGGCTAAAGGAGGACTCCACCGAGTACGACAGGGCAGCGGATGCAGCCAAGCTCGAGCCGTGCTACGAGGGGTACCAGGTGACCCAGGTCACCTACGAGGACGACTTGAAGGAGACAGACGCCCAAGGCATGCTCGATGTCATTCATCGGCATATGAAAACGAGACAGTCGCTGGAAATCACGATCAAGAAGATTCCCCAGAAGATCGAAGATGCACACGACATTGAAGGCCTCACGAACGTCCTGAAGGATGTGAAGCTGACCACTGATCAGGCCAAGATCGTTCTCGAGGCTGCGCTGAGGCACGCGGAGGAGAGCCTCAACGACGGCGGCTCCATCTCGGACACAAATAACAGGATCGCCAAGATCAGCCGTACCCTCGACGAGGTGAAGGCCCTGTCCAAGGAGAATTTGATCCTGGCGCAGCCGCATCTGTAGCCAGCACAACCGGGGCGATTTGGTAACAGCTGCCTGGCGTTTTCCTAACCCTCCTGTGTTGGGTTATAAATTCGGATAGAGCATCGTGGTATCCACTCCTCCTCCTCCTTCCTCCTGCCTCATCCTGCCTCCTCATGCCTCCTGCCTCCTTGCTTCCCTTGCTAGTAGCTCCCTGGGTGGCTGCGAACTGCGCAACTGTCGCCACTTCCGTGGGCTCCTGGGAGGTCCAGCGGAGTAGGGGGCCACGCGGATCCATTTGGGGACCTTGTTGCGCCCTGGGTGGCTGTGAACTGCGCAACCGTCGCCACTCTCGTGGGCTCCTGGGAGGTCCAGCGGAGTCGGGGGGCCACGCGGATCACTTGGGGACCTCCCGGCTCCCTCGGGCGCTGCGAACTGCGCAACTGGTATCATTTTCGTGGGCTGCCAGGAGGTCCAGCGGAGTAGGAGGGCAACACGGATCCATTGGGGGCCTTCGCTGCGCCCTGGGTGACTGCGAACTGCGCAACTATCACCACTTTCGTGGGCTCCTGGGAGGTCCAGCGGAGTCGGAGGGCCACGAGGATCACTTCGGGACCTCGCTGCTCCTTGGGTGCTGTCGTGGGCTCCTGGAAGCAACACGGCGGAGGTGAGGGCAGCGCAGATCCATTTGAGACTTCGCGGCTCTCTGGGAGGCTGCGGAGTGTACAACTGTCGCCACTTTCGTGGGCTTCTGGAAGGCCCGGCGGAGGTTTGCGAACTGCGCAACCGGTATCCTGGTATCACTTTCGTGGGCTCTTGGGAGGTCCAGCGGAGTCGGGGGGCCACGCGGACCCATTTGGACTCTCGCTGCTCCGTGGGTGGCTGCGAACTGCGCAACCGTCGCCACTCTCGTGGGCACCTGGGAGGCACGGCGGAGGTGAGGGCAGCGCAGATCCATTTGAGACCTCGCGGCTCCCTCGGGCGCTGCGAAGTGTGCAACTGTCGCCACTTTCGTGGGCTCCTAGGAGCCACGGCGTAGATGAGGGCAGCTTAGATCGTCCATGTCTGGCGATGTGTTCGTTTGTATAGAACGTTCCTACAAATATTCGCCTCGCGTGGAGAAGGGGTTGGGTACGTCTCGGTGAGCGGCCACTGTGTGCACTCGGTCATACCCGCTTCAGTCGGCGGTGCTGCTGATGCGCGAGTGCGCCGCCGCGCCAAGGGCGGGCGCAGCGTCTGACAGCTGTACTGTTCCAGCGCTGCAGCCCAAGGGCGCCCCCGCGCTGAGTGAGGAGTGGAGGGAGCGGGAGGGGGTCGGTGGCGGTGGAGGAGGCCAGGCGACGCCGACTGTGCATCGAAGTGGTCCTGCGAGGAGGAGGAGGCGGAGGAGGAGGAGGAGGAGGAAGAGGAGGGGGAGGAGGAAGAGGAGGAGGTGGAGGAGGAGGAGGAGGAGAAGAACCAGGATGGGCATGGCCAGGATCGGTGTCAGTGTTGGTGTGCCGTCTGCGCGGTGTGGGTGCACGGTTGGCCCTGCCCTGTTTGTTGCGTCGTGTGGTTCTTGCAGCATGTTCGGCCTGCCCGACTTCCTACGGCTCGTTCGATTTGCAGGCGGTGACGTGCCCCATTTCCCTGGACCTCTTTGGGTATTGTACGTGCTTTCTTCGCTGTCGCAAATGCAGGTGCTCCGCGAGTTTTTTGGTAAGGTGTCGCTGGGCTTCGGATGGTTTGGGAGGGTTCCGGTGGGGGTCTGGAGGGTTTCGGTAGGATTCCAAGGCCTTCGAACGGTTTTTGGGGGTTCGAATGGTTTCGAGATGGGTTCGTTCGGAAGGGCATCTGCATGATCTCGGGAGGGCTTCGGACAGAAGCGGGTCTTGGACCACTTGCCGTGCAGGCTGATGGTCAGGAGGCCCTGCACTGATGCAGTACGCGCGGCGTTGAGAGGCGGCGGGTTTCGGAGGATGGCCTGAGGGGATCCAGTAGTTTCGGATGGTGTCTGGGGGGCGTGCAAGAGTTCTGGATGGTCTCAGAGGGTCTCGGATGGTTTCTGCAATTCCCCGAGGAGTTCAAACGGCTTCGTCCCATGTCGGGTGTGGGTGGGAGGAGGCCTCCTCCTCCTCCTCCTCCTCCTTCTTCTCCTCCTCCTCCTCCTCCTCCTCCTCCTCCTCCTCCTCCTCCTCCTCCTCCTACTCCTACTCGTCCTCGTCCTCCTCCTACTCGTCCTCGTCCTCCTCCTCCTCCTCCTTTCCTCCCCCCTCCTCCATCTCCTCCGCCTCCTCCTCCTCCTCCTCCACGGAGGAGGAGGAGGTGGCCGGAGGCTGGAGTATGCCCCCCCTCCTCCAGGAGCAGCTCGGCCCCCACAGTGCAGGAGGCCTCTGCAAGGGCATGCCCCCGGGAGGGCCTGCAGTGGAGGCCCATGCCAAGAAACATCCTGCTTGCCTCCAGGGTGCCCTGGGTTTATGACTGGGTTGCGATGATTCTGCTATGGGAAGCGTGACGCTCCCACACCAAGAATTAATTAGTAGATGCCCAGGGTTCTCGGGTTGGGTTTCTCGTGAAGGCTTCTTGTGTACTGGCCTCCACTGTAAACACATTTCAACATCTTTTCTGAATCTTTCGGAAGGTGTCGGGATGGGGGGGTCGGAGGGTTTGGGGAAGGCTTCGGGAGGTTCCGGGAAGGTTCAGAGAGTTTCGGACGATTTCACCCCGGGGGGTCTGATGGTTTCGAAGGGTTTCGGAGGATTTGTGATCAACTTGGAGAGGTATTTGTTTGGATGGTTTCAAATGGTTTCGGCACGATTCCAGATGACTTCGGATGATTTCAGATGTCTTTCGGTTCCGTTTCAAGTGGATTCCGGATGGATGTTGAAATCATTTCGGATGGTTATTGGGAGGATTTCGGCCTGTGTCGGGTTTGGTGGTTTGCCCCGCCATTTCTTCTTTTGCGTGGCAGAATGGAGGACGGTGGACCATGGTAGAGGAGGGCACGGGAGAGGTACGAGGAGGGTGGGGAAGCTGAATTCGAGGAAGGCGTTCTTATGATGTGATAGTGGGAATGCGTCGTGCGTGCTTCACGCGGCCGCTATTGGAGTTCTATTGGAGCCGATTTTGGAAGCAAAGGGGAGTATCAGAAAGGGCAGATCCGTACTACATAAGGTCGTGTAGGGGCTTGGCAGCGCGCACGTCAGGGGGCATCCTTCGCAGAAGAATGCCGTCAGCCTCTTTAACAGGGGCAGGCCCGCTGTAAGGAGCGTCTCTTGCCGCCCCTCCTTTGCGGTAGCGCTTGCCGGTTCACTGTTTCGCGGCTTCCGTGTCTGATGCATTGCTGGCCTCTCCCCGTGGGTCGCGCATCGAGGAGCCATCCCGCTGCACAGGTGACTGGCCGCAGCTCCGCGCTTGCTCCGGTCCCTCCTCCTCCTCCTCCTCCTCCTCCTCCTCCTCCTCCTCCTCCTCACCCTCCCCCTCCCCTCCTCCTCCTCCTCCTCCTCCTCCCTCCTCCTCCTCCTCCTCCTCCTCCACAATTACTCAATATGAAAATACTCTCCCTCTTCCCCTGATGGCGTCCGGGTGATGGCCGCGCACCCTCCGCGTACTGTTTTTTTACACACAGGATGCCCGGGAAATCCCGGGAAACGACTCTCGCTGAGGCGCCGGCGTCATTTTTTCCCAAAATGCTGCTCTCGTTGAGGCGCCGGCCTCATTTCTGCTCCCGAATCGTTCCGAATCGTGCTCCCGCTGCAGCGTGGGCCTCATTTTCGGATCGGTGTTTGGCCTCCGTCGTTCAGGATGGCGTTCTCGCCCCAGCGCGGGCCTTTTTCTCGCGCGCCCATCCGCCCGCCACCACCGCGCCGCACCACCACCACCACCACCACCACCACCACCACCACCACCACCACCACCACCACACCACCACCACCACCACCACCACCACCACACACAGCACCACAGCACCACCACCACCACCACCACCACCACCACCACCACCACCACCACCACCACCACCACCACCACCACCACCACCACGACCACCACGCACACACGCACGCACGCACGCACGTGCACCACCACCCACTACGCACGCGCGCGCGGAGCCACAGGTCCTCTACGACACGCGTCCGCGGATAGAGAAAATCAGCGCCATGGTAAGGGATGGGTGGGAGGGGTAGGACGTCAGATATGACGCGAGCGCACCTAGCTTGTCCTCCTCCCCCTCCCCCTCCTCCTCCACAGGCATTTTGAAGATGATTGCCTTGCCGCCGCCGCGTTTGGTGCCTGGCTGCCCTGACACTCCCGCTTCGGAGCACCAGGCGCATCGTGTTCCGAGCGTCAGTTTGTAGTGCGCCGCGTGCCGGCTCGGCGCGCGCCGGCCCGCGTCCTGGCGAGCGTGTCGCGCCAGGCGTGCGGCTCGGAGCTCCGCGTGGGGCTCCGTTGCGGGCAATAGTTGTATCCACATCCACTGCGTCTTGGATTCTTGGGCTCTCTTCCCCAGAAACCGTAGACGCACTGGATATGGATAAACATCTGGCCCCAAGAGGCTTGATTTTATCCGTATCCAGTGCGCCTCGGCGTTGCGGCGCCTCTTCCCACAAAGTCCACGACGCTCTGGATATGGATATAAGTACTGCCCGCATCCGTGGCAGCGGGGCCGCGCGCTCGAGGCGCGCCCTCCTTGAGGCCGGGGCCTCGGCCGCCTCGTGGCACGCCCCTGCTTCGTAGGCAATCGGGACTGAGCTCGACTCGGCGTGTGGCCGACGGGCAGGAGGCTTCTCGGAATCAAAAAGGGCCCCCCTCGCCTCGCCCCATCCTTGTCACGGTGTCATAGCAGTCGGAGGTTGATAGACCTCCTACCCTGACACGTCGATTAGCGAATTGGCCATTTTCGGTTCGCGAGAGGGCGCCGCGGCCGTCATTTCTGAGGGTCCAGGTCCGTCGGTTTCGGTCCTAGGCCGTTTTCATTACATGGAGGTTTACTGAAGGGAGTTCTGTCCACCGCCGATAGAACGCCGCCCCCTCGCCCAGCACCCCCTCCACTTTGCGCACCACACTGTGGAGGGGGGGGGGGGGGGGCATTTGCTCGGTGTGTTCCACTGCTGGCGGGCGCTTCTTCAACCCGAAGAGTGCGATAGGTTCCCCCGCATCCGCTGGACGCTCCGTCGCCGTGACGATCGATAGTGAAATGCGTTTTGGAGAGGGGTCAGTGCGACCAAGGGGTTCAAAGAGTGGCCACTGAGGAAGGGGGTCCTAAGGACGGGAACGAGCTTCCAGGTTGAATCTTCATTGCTCAGGGCCTCGTCGCCCTTGGGCCCCTCGCCGCAGGGCCTCATCTTTGAAGTGCCTTGTTGCCTTCCACATGCGAGCCTCGCCGGTTTGCCCAGGTGAGTGTCTCGTTCAGAACATCGGCACCCCCAGGCAGGGCTCACAGACTCACGCGCGCCCCCAAGTGGTCCACGAGCACCAGGTCCGTCTCATCTTCTGTTGACGGGTGCCTCTCTTGCAGCACGGCATCTGGTTATTGCTGTTGCTCTGCTCTCCTTCTCTTGGCCCTGTCCGTGCTCTGGTCTGCTCTGCTCTGTCCTCCTCGTCAGGCTCTTTTCTGTTATCCTCTCGCTGCTGCTGCTGCTGTTTTTTTGCTGTCGCTCGTGGCTTCTTCTTTTTGATGGGCAATTGCTCTGCGACTTGCTGCTGCTGCTGCTGCTTGCTGCTGCTCATGCTGTTGATTGCTGATTGCTGCCTTGTGCGGTTCCGATTCCTTATCCCCTTCCTCCTGTGCATCGTCCTCCTCGTTCTCATCCCAGGCGTCGGCCCATTCTTGAGCCCGCATTCTGCAAGCGCTCGGAACAGAGGCCGACCCCAGGCGCCGACCTGCCCAGGTCGGCGTCGACCCCTGAACGGCCCAGTCGGAAGCTGCCTGGCAGATGAGGCTGCGCCACCGCCGAGGCGAGGCGCGCCGCATCCCCCTGGGTGCCCCCCACGCCGTGGAAAACCACCACGGCTTCGGAGGCATCGCTGGCACGTGCCGGTGCCAAGGCCACCAGGGAGGCTCCCGTCGCTGGACGTCCTGCTTTCGCTGCGAGAAGATGTCCTACGATGACCAGTGGAGCAATAATGACTTCTGGTGTGACTGCGGGGCGCAGGTCTCCCCGAAAAGGGCCAAGGCCGCGAAGGCCCCGACGCTGCCAGCCCAGGCTTCCCCTCGGCTCTGGAGAAGGCGCTCGAGCAGGTGGCGGGCCAGCTGAGCACTCCGGCCATCAAGCAAGGGGTTGCGCCACAGCTCTCGGGGGCCATCGGTGCGGTCACCGAGGCGACGAAGCTGGCGGAGACGCAGAGGAGCAAAGCAGCCCGCCTTGCAGACGCCGCCAAGTCCCTGGAGGCGCGCCACCCAGTCCTACGAACGCGCCTTCGACGCCACGGAGAAGGGCCAAGGATAATTTCAAGGGCCTCGAGGAGGACATCAGGGCGAAGGGCCAGCAGGCGGCCGAGGTGGAGAAGCTCGTGGGGAAGATAACCATGGAAAGCGCGCCGCCGAAGGACCTGCTGTGCGACTCGATGGCGATCCCAGATCACGAGCTGACGGTGGAGCTCATGAGGGGCTTCGGGCTCGGGGGGGCTTTCGAGGCAGATGCCAGTGATGCGGACCAGGAGACCATCGTGCTCGCCGAGAAAACCAGGCGGACATGCTCTTCAAGTGCTGAGGAACGACGGCAGAGTTCCAGCGCAAGCACGAGACGCACGGTGAGCTCGCCCAAACCAAGGCCGACAATGATAAACAGGAGTGGGCGCAGGCAGCCAAGAAGCGCAAGGCCGAGGGAGGCGCAGCCGCAGCGGGCTCGGCCCCTTCTGGCCGGCAGCACTGCAACCACGCTAGACGCGCCAGCCGCGCTGCCAGCCGCGCCGCCGACGGAGGAGGCCAGTGCAGGTTCGGGTGCAGCGGCAGCACCGCAGGCGGCAGCTGCGGCGGCGACGGCGGCAGCAGCCGAGAGGACAAACACAGCCCAGGAAACGCTCGCAGGGGCTGCCGGGGTGCTAGTGCCCACTTGAGAACCAAAGGGGCCGAGGCGACGGCGCCAGTTGCCCCAGCGCCCGTCCAGGCAAACCTTCATCGGCAACCTCGCCACGTGCGATCCAGAGGCTGCGAAGTATGTCCAGGTGCCGTGCAAGGCTAATTCGTTCGATGCCTTCCTGCTGCGCGAGGCAACCTCATATCTCATGAGCTAACCGACGATGGGTGCCAGATGAAGGGCTGGGGCTTCAATCCGTGTTTTCGGTGGCCAGGCAAAAAGCGAGGCCCGAGGTGGCCTGCGCGGAAGCGCGCGCGCAGCGGCGAGGACCGAGCACCAGCCAACGAGTTTTCGAAGGCTCGCGAGAGAGAGAGAGAGAGAGAGAGAGAGAGAGAGAGAGAGAGAGAGTTGCGCGCCTTCCAGTATCACGGTCGCGGGTGCCTCGCGAGTTATGAGTTTTCACTTTCGTGCTCAGTTTCTGTTCGCTTGGCACCACAGGGGAGTCACAATAACTCGAGTTAGTCTCTACTTGAAATTTAGTAGGTCTTTCCTAGCTGTTCAGGTAATGATGTTGGGAACTTGCGTTTTTCAAGTCGTTCCTTTGGGTTGTCTCGGAGGCCACTGACGTTTCTCCCAGGGCCTGGTGGAAGCCGCTTGGCCCTGAAGGCTCAACGAAAATATGGCCACCTGTCAGGGCGGGGCCACTTGCTTCAAGGATGATTGCGCGCCCCGCCTGGTAGATATCTCCCATCTTAGCCCCGATGTGGCCCGACTGTTCGAAGGCCTCCAGACGGCGGCAGTTCCCTGGAATCCCCGCGTCGGACAGGCCCTCGCTCTCAGCGCCAGAGTTGCAGCGGCGCTGACCCGAAACACATGAATTTGCGAGCGCCGCGCCCTCCGCTCGCCCAGGGAAGGTGCTGCTCGGCCGTCTTAGCCTTGCCTGAGCAGGGCGCCGGGCTTGTGGTTCAGCCTGGCCAGTTTCATACTCAGCGTTGGGCATATCAAATGTATGGCCTGCGACCTGGAGGCTCAAGAGGCCATTCTTTTCCGTGGCAGAATGTTCCCGCGCTGACCCGGGGGGCCCTAGGTCCGCGAGACGGGAATCGCGACGCTTCGATATCCCAGAGCTGGATGGTGGAGTAGGGTTGCCGCTGCCCCCAGCCTCTCACGCACTCTGCTGGGGCGGGGTAGACGGAGGCAGCAGCAGGGGGGGCTAGACATCCATGTCGCAAGCCCGCTCTGGACGATGCGCCCGCAGCTGAGGGCAGACACGGCTGCGCAGGTCTTTTGGGGGCCCGCCTCCGAGACAGCTCGAAGGCCAGGGATGCCGTCGTTCAGGGCGTGTCCCAGCTGGCGGCCAAGGAGGCTGGCCCGTGGGGTCGACCTGTGGAAGGGGCAAGCCGAGTGGGCCGCGCGGCTTTCAGACCCTCAGAGGGCTCCCCCAGGGGCGCTGCGCAGGTTGACGAAGCCCCCTGCCCGCCTCGAGGATGTAGTTGGCGGAGTGCAGGCGCCCCTCCCCGCAGCGGTGATGGATTGCAAAGCTGGAACATTTTGGCAAAAATGCACCCCAGAAGAAAAAAAAACAGCAGGCCCCCGTTGCCGTCGTGGCTCGGGTTCAGCAGCGGGCGCTGGGCTCGCCCGACCGCCCTCGCGGGGTCTTGGCGCCGTTGACCGGGCCCTCTGCTCGCGGCCCGACTCTGGCAGGGGCGTTGACAGACCTGGTGTCTCAGCGGCGCGCGGGCTGCTGGCGTCTGCCGGGCCAGGCCACGTGGATCTAATTTACGAGACTGAGAAGAGGCAGGAGGCGAGTCCTTATCAGGCGTTGCAGGCGATCGTTCTGTTGGAACCCAAGAGAAGCGGATATCGCGCTGTCGCCAGATCCCCTTGCTGGCGCGAGCGCAGCAGCTGCGCGTGAAGCCCGAGATGGGCGCGTGGTCACAGCAGCGGCGCGTCACTGGGGCGCCGCGCTGCGCTGCGTGGCTCCTCCTGACCCAGGGGGGCCCTGGCGCGCCCCTCCAGCATGCGGCCCCGCGCGCGCTGGGCATGTCATCAGGGGCGAGGTTGGCAGACGCTGCGAGGTTTTACGATTCGCTTTGCATCGAGACGATCGCCGGCCAGGAGATGGACCTGCCTCCGCGCGCGCTGGCCCCAGAGCTGCAGCTGCGCGGGGTCAGCTGCTGCATCTGGCAGGTGGAGACCTGCGCGGGGCCCTGCCAGGCTAGCGCCCCTGTGGCGACGGGATCGCGACGCGCGAACAACCTGGCGAGGGCGGTGGTCTGCGGATGTCTATTGGGCCATGGGCAAGCTCGCCGCGCAGCGCGCGAAATGCCACCCCCGCGCGCAGCCCAGCAGTGGTGCAGTTCACGGTTGTAGGCTCCATGGAGGCGCCGAAAGATGCCCTGAATGATGATGGGGCTTGATGGTTGACGGAAGTCCGGCGTGCACGTCGGCGCTGGTGTGGCCAGGAGAACCGCGCGCAGGTGGCAGACAACGGTTCGTTGATACTCAAACAATGGAAGGAGGTCGCGATCTCGGCATCTATGGGTCTGCGGCAGGAGCGCGGAGGAAGCCGGCGCGGGCTGACAGGAGGCGGTAGGCCCACCTGCGCGCGATACTGCTGGGCAAGAGGCTCAGGGGGCTGAGGCGCGAGAGCCAGGTGGGCGGGCTCGACCAGGGGGCCGCGCCATCGCCCGCATGCGGGGCGCGGACGCGCGGCTAGTCGCCCTCGGCGGTGACGCAGGCGCAGGCGGTGCCGGGGCGCGCCGGCGCAGCCGAG